TATTTTATCAATATTTTCCTATTTCCTCTTGAGGATCATTCAAATTGAATTTATCTAAGGGAAATGACTGCATTAACTATTTTTGTTACCAGTGCTTCAACGGATTTGTCTTGATTTTATTACATTTATTTTCCCGCTTATTCTAAATCAAATGTTCTTTTGTTGATCAATATATTTGCCCAGTTTCTGCTTATTTGTGATCAACTTATTCGTTTACGGGGGAAATAAAACGAAGCGTTTATTAACTTAACTAAATATACAGTCATATATAAATAAATATATGTATTTTAATATACAAACATACATACGTACATGTATAGATATGTATACATACACATATATTAGATATAGCGATAAATATATATGTAAGCTTATTGGCTTGTTTATATGTTTGTATCAATAAACGCAGGGAGTTATATAAACTGGGAGTTATTTAATTTCGTAAAATTGCCATAGAAAATCATTTAGATTAATATTAAAATATACACACCCGTCCAAGCAAACACATTTACTTACCTTCGAATATATATTTAAATATTTGTATTTTTGCCATTGCGACAGTGTCTAAAAGCGTAGATATAACACCAACGCCTACACACATATATATCTCCCTACACAGAATACAGACACACTCACAAACATATATGTGTGTGTGTTGTCTATTTCAGAATAGGAGCATATTTTCAGAATAAAAATATCCAAATACCTGTATATACTATGCGTTTAAAAATTATTTGCCTCTTATTTTTCTTGTATCTATATTTAAAATAAATATTTATTTAAATCTGACTTATGATAATATATCTATCCATAAAACTTGCAACTGCTTAGTGCATCACAGATGAAAAAAATGAGATAGAAAGTTATTTCATGGAGTTAAGTTTTACACGTCATACACAAGGACGTGGTTATTTCGTGTCTCGAGAAACTTGCTCCCCATTAGTTGTGATAGAGCGTCCACACTGGCTAATTTAAAATATACACCTCGAAGTATTTAATAAGATAGATAATTTTAAAATCCATTTTGTTGAAGTTCTCATTTATTGCCGAAATAAAAACACTTTTGGGGCATCCGCCCGGGGAAGAAGAAAGAGAGAAGATACAACCTTATGGAATCGACCTCGTCAACCAAAATACCTCCCCAGAACAATGGAGCAATCCAAAATTTTACTTATTTGGCACAGAAGCCAAGACCTCCCCAGAAGAGTTGGGTATACAATACTTCCTGGTGATCTTGAATAATAGATGGTGGAGACATGATTAAGACAGACAACAGAAACAAAATTCATTAAGAACTACAAAGGACAGGAAACTGTGGTGAGATATGAGCAACGATATGCAGAAGGGACACGCTACATACATGGTTTTTTTCAGTATATCACGACTCTTGTATATTTAACATATTTTTTCTGCAAATTTGCCAATGCCGAAGCCGTCTGCTAGCATCGCTATGACACTTTCATTTTCTCCTGACGATTAATACTTGTTCCTGATCACCAATTTTGATGACACATTAGTCCAGGGCTTTTAAACTTTGGGTCATAGAAGGATAAAGGGAGTCCTTGAGGATGAGATATAAATTTACATATATATTAGCAATACAGTCCTTGTCCCAATGAAAGGTTTCCCAGTGAAAGAAATAAAAGAAAATACGTCACTGCTTGAAAGATATCACACCTAGCCACTATTTACAGTGCCGATAGATAGTCGTCTCGTGAATGTTTACCATTTAAACGAGTGTCATCATTCTCTGAACGACCCCCATCTTTTGCCACTCCATTCGAGTAAGAGAAATTTCTCAATTTCTACAGTTTATCACGGTTTGATAATCTTCCAGTATACCGATTAGGATTAATTGACCACAATTTATAGCAACCGTTGCTGGCTGAAACGTTATGCGTGTGCAGTATATATAAATGCATGGATATTTGTTATTAAAAAAAAACAGTCAGACTGTGACTATCGGATTGTCTGTCTATGAATAGATAGTTCTTAGAGTGATCCGTTTCCCAAGGGGTCCGTAACAAAAGAGGTCCGTGATTAAAGGAGTCTGTGACTCAAAAACGGTTAAGTTGCACTTCATTCGGCGTTAACATTTCAGGGTCTTCCATATTCTTGTGCATTGCAGGTTTCCCTCATTCATCGTGGAATTATGTTGCGATTTAGAATGTTTTCTTGCATTTACCGCATATATGTTTAAAATATTTCGTCAGATTATTATTATTCAAAGGAAAAAATTTCGTACGAAAATAAAGACTAGAAATGTTCAAATGTGTATATTTTAAACTATGTTACTGGCAAAATTATAAAGTCTCTATATGTAATGTTCTCTTCAAGTTTTGAAACGATTTTCAGAACTGCACTAAGAGTGGGATACAGATTTTCAGTATTTCTGTAACTCTTAGGTTTGATATATTTAAGAAGGATATTAGAATAATCATGAATTTATCCCGCATCCTGATTTATCTTGCATGCCGATAAAAATGAATTTAGTAAATGTACAAAAAGAGAAAGAGCTGTAAGACAAGGACACGTCTTCTCACCATACATCAACCATTAGAGTGAGGTGGTTTTGAGAGAATTAGAATTCATACCAGATTTTATTATTGGTGGCCATAATCTTAACATCATAACAGATATAGATTACACATGGAGTTAGCAGATATAGAAAGGAAATGACAGGAACTCCTGCAGAAGCTAGCATTGGAAATCAAGAAGAAATGACGAATCATCAATTCTAAGAAGACAGAGTGTATGGTTTTTAACAAAAATAGGATCCCAGCAAGTAAATTGCAAATAGTAGATGCCAAATCCAAGCAAGAAATATTAAATATCGTTAACAAAGTAAATAGGATAACGGAAATCTGAATGTGCAAGTGAGTAGAAAAATGTCTTCGAAAAGCTAAGCAAATTATTAAGAAATAGGAAAATCACGTTAGGATCTAACAAATATAGTACTTAACCATTATGTAAGCTCGGTCCTCCTATATAACAGTGAATACTGGTTAATCATATGACAGATGAAGACGCGATTTCAAGCAACAGCAATGTGGTTCTTCAGAAGGATACTGAGAATGCCAGGGATTGAAAATGGCAAAAATAATGGTACTTTATACTTAAAACACACACACCGAGAGAGTTAAAAGTTGTAGGAAACATAAAGAGGAAAGATATCTAAGAAGCATTGATACAGAAAGGTCATATTAAAGTCAAGAGAAAAAAGGCGGATAATCAACCTACCGAGATTATGTAAATAGTTGGCCGAACGGGGATTAGGAGAGATAGCGAAAAAACGTAAATTACTGACAGGTAGGAATGACAGGGAATTGTGGGTAGTTTAAGTCCTGAAGGGTTGCGGAGTATAGAAGTGAATTCAATGCTTATATTCGATGGTGATCATAGGTCGACATTTTCATGTTAATTTATAACACCATATTTTGTAATTACAGCTATGTTTTCCGAGTATTTTCAAAAGATAAACCCTATTTTACAATGCATAGTTATCTGGGTTTAGTTGTTTTCTTTACTGTCCGAATTATGACGAGAAATGACATCAACATTCGAGCCAACATCGTGTCTATCAGATCACATACTTAGATCATCATCTTTGTTCAACAAATATTATTTGTCAATTATTTTTAATATATGTGAATCCGAGTAAGTAAATAAGTTTAATTAGGACGAATACATGTTAAAGAATTTATCTTGACATGAAGCAACATATGATAAAATATATTAGTTCAGATAGATAATTATTAATATTATATTAAAGTTCCCTGGTGCTAAGTCGAAGAGCCCTTTCTTTTAAGTCTCTCAGATATAAAGGTTTGTAAAAGTAATACACAGTGTTTTGTAATAAATAAATAAACAAATAAATAAAACATTTATTCACTAGAACGACATTGAATTGAATAATAAATACTGTCGATTTAAAAGTCCAAACTAGTAATTCCTGATAATGTACGTTTGGGATATTAAAAAAGTCAGCAGAGAAAATCTAAATGAATGGATATACTCTTCAAAATATATTAGCATTTTTGGATCGTCATGGACTTAGTAGACGAAAAGTATAAAGCACATCAGATCAGAGGTTGGGGGACACAGGTTCGACCCCAGAACAAGAACACTTGTCCTTTAGTAAAACGTCCAAATGGGTAGGTTGGTAGCTTTAATGAACAATGTTAAAAGATCAGGACAACTCATTTTTATGCTGTTGCATTTTATGATTAATGAAGCTAGAGTCTGTAACGTTATTTCTACAGGTTGTGATATCTTGTGAAAGCAAATCATTTGTAGATTACTCCCCGTATGATGTTGCTGGATATGTGAATTAATTGCACTATTAACTTATTAAGTGCATGTTCATCGAAGCAATAGACTAAGGATTGTGGAACTAATATATGAATTCTTTTAATAATTAATAAGAGATAATTGTTTTCAAGTGGGCAATCGAATTCATATGAAAATAAGACAGTGTAAGGTTTGAAATTTGCCGCATCGCTAAACGTTGGAAGTTTTTTAATTCTTGCAGTTTGTGATGAAATTAGTGTATTATCTTTTGACAGTAGGCAGTATGCATCGATATATATATATATATATATATATATATATATATATATATATATATATATATATATATATATATTATATTTTATCTTTTGGTATTAGGCAGTATATCAATAATATATGTATATATATATATATATATATATATATATATATATATATATATGTGTGTGTGTGTGTGTGTGTGTGTGTGTGTGTGTGTGTGTGTGATATCTATCTGAAAAATAACGCGACTGGTGTCCCAAACAATTTATTTCATTTCTAAACAACATACTATATCGTTTCCCCTTCAAACTGAATATAATTCATAAAGACATTGACTTGTTCATATATTGTGATTTTCGGTGGATCATGATACGTTCATCTCCAGTATTCTGTACCTCAAATGGTACTACTAAGCATCATCAGAATAAACTATTTCAGTGACCGTCCGCATGAAAGGGCCCCATCATCCCTACTATTCCGAGGATGAATTAACGCCATTCATAACGTCGTAAGTACCAAGGAAAATCTCTCAACCATACATGAATAATAGGTAACATGACGAAGGAAAATGGGGATGGGACACCCTACACTATTAAATCGATAAGAAAGGTTTTAATATCACCACTTGGGGGTTTGGATAATTTTTATATATGTAACAATTTTAAGATACGATGGGAAAATCGAAAATATTAAATATAGAGGAGCATAGATAATTGAATACAAATATAATATAAACGAAATTGAAAAGAATGCAATAGAAAAACGTCAATATATTTCCAGTATATTGGTCGACATGTGTAAATTAGAAAGATAATAAAACTTTACTTTATACAATTGTTAACATTTATATTACTTTGTTACTTCTTTATTTGTATCAATTGAATTTTTACTTTTGCTCATCAGACTTTCACAATTTATATACATCGTTTTACCCATTATTTCCTTTAAATACGCCCGTTTGAATTAACATCAGTTCATTTGCTCTTTCTTCTTATCTATCTATCTATCTATCTATCTATCTATCTATCTATCCTACGTACATTCTTTCATTATCTAAGGCCCTACATCTATCTATCTATCTATCTATCTATCTATCTATCTATCTATCTATCACACTTCCTTTTTCCATCTATCCATCCATCTATCCATCTATCTATCTATCTATCCATCCATCCATCCCACGTACATTCTTTCATTATCCAACGCCCCACATCTATCTTATCTATCTATCCATTCATCCATCCATCTATCCATCCATCTATCTATCTATCTATCACACTTCCTTTTCTATCCATCTATCTATCTATCTATCTATCTATCCATCACACACACTTCTTTTTATCTATCTATCTATCTATCTATCTATCTATCTATCTATCTATCTATCTATCACACACTTCCTTTTCTATCTATCTATCTATCTATCTATCTATCTATCTATCTATCTATCTATCTATCAATCTATCTATCTGAGTTTGGCCACATTTTTCCTACAAAATATTCTTACGTATCTATCCTTCACCACCTCTGACACACTATCTATCTCACACATTCCGTTTTTCTTTCTTTCCCCCACTTCCTTTTCTCTTTTCCCTCTATTTCTCTATATATCCGGAAATGCATGAAGCAATATATATATATATATATATATATATATATATATATATATATATATATATATATATTCAAGCATAATGAAGATTATGTCTTTTGTGATTTTACTGTTTTTCTTTCGAAAAAAATCAAATAAATGTTTTTATTCGATTGTTTCCTCGTGTTTGTAAAATGAACGTTCTCTCTTCGAAAAGTAATTGCACAGATTCTATTTATTTTTACCAAGTTAAAAGCACACTAGAAACAGAAAGTATAACGTTATCAGATTTACCAATAATGCTAGCTATTCTACGACGATTATTGTAAGAAAACTTTTCTCCAAGTCAGCATATATATATATAACTTAATATTTATAAGTGTGTGACTGTCTTTTCGGGTGCATGTATACCGTAAGCATATTTCGTTTTGCTTCAACGAATCTCTAAAATAGTACGCTCACACAAAATTGTACGCATTCGTAATCCTGTTATGCGTATTTTTAACTTGAAAACAATAGTTACCATTATATAAAACACGGCAAAGGCCGTATAGTTTCTATAGAATGCTAGTCTTTGGCATGGGTCATTTCTCGAATATTGCTTGATCGCCTGACTCGGTCATTATCACTATATAGAAATCATCTATGTAAACATTGACAGACTATCATCATTGTCTTGTCCGTATATTGTTTAATATGTTGTAATTGACATCTTTGATAATGGCTTAAGTAAGCCGAAAGCTTAGATTGTATTAAATATGGATCAATATTGTGAATTTCTTTCTTCGTTCAACGATAATGTTATTAAACTTATCAGATGTTAAGAAAAAAATTTACATAAAATAAATAGACAACACTTGTCTATATTATTTAATGAAACGTATATATATATATATATATATATATATATATATATATATATATATATATTGGGTGTCGTGAGTTTCTGGGACATTCGGTCATTTCCTTCCTTTCAAAAATAGGCATGAATGGCCGTTGGTTGAAAAGCATTTCGCATCGCCTTCAAAAAACTGTTCAACACGCGTCAAGTTGGATTTGGTCGAGATCAAAAGAAGTAAATAATATTGCGCGCCACATCACAACCTAACATGCGTAAGTGAGATATTTGCGTGGTTTTCTATAACGATTTCTTACGAGCAATAACAGCAAACGCGTTCAAGAAACTTTCATTGCAGATAGATTTTACTTAAAAAAACGATTAGTTAGCTTATCTTAATACCCTGCCGGGTGGCAAGCGCTGCTGATGGGCCACCGAAACCGTGGTATCACCCCTAGTCGGCGGCTGATGAAGATAGGGTATCGCACGTGCTAAAAAAACGTTGTATGTTAATATATATATATATATATATATATATATATATATATATATATATATATATATAATCACGATGGATGGCCCTACACCAGTTAAACAAACAGAGACTCTCTCAGACATTTCAACTTTCATCTTTCAACATTGCCTGCACTATGTGGGTCACGGGTCTAGAATGCGTCCCACACGACTAACATGTATCATCATGTTTGGGGAACTCACCAGCGACAAGAAGCTAGGCGGATGCCCAAGACGACCATTCAAGGATCAATAGAATTTGACAGAGACCAACATCGACCCTGAGAACATGGAAGACATTCCTGCAAATAGGACTCATTGGCGAAGGAACATCTGGGCAGCGATCGACATTTTCGAGTCCAACCGTCAATATGAAGAGAACCTGCAACTTGGTGTCGTGAGAGCCTGAATCATCGAACCGAGTCCACTATCCACACTTTCTTGCGACGCTTGCAGAAGTAGACTGGGCCTTCAAAGACAATATCCGCCACCGACTTCAGAGAGAAGAAAGGGGATAAGGACAGAGGCTGACGACCTGATCATCTAATGCGAGCGGGTGCCGACTACTATTACCATTACTCATGTTTTATATATATATATATATATATATATATATATATATATATATATATATATATATATATATATATAGATAGATATATTTGTGTGTGCGTGTACGCATGCGCATGTGAGTGTGCACAAACGTGTGTGTATGAGTGTGGGTGTGTTGATATCCACAACTTACTCGGATAATTATGCGTTATTAAATTTTAAAATGTTGGAAAATCTGATAGAGACCACCTACTTTGACATAATGACACGGTTTAATAATAGAACTAAATGCCACATCGTCATCATGCGAATTATCACAATAGAGGGCAGTCGAAAAATGTGCAACAGGTAAGTAATTTACTAGTCAGTCAATTAACGTATCAACAATAACAAATCGACTGACAATCGCTACTTAAATCTGATTAAATGGACCACTCATGGTAAGAGGATTTCAGATTGCATTCCATTTTAGAAGAATGCAAAAAAAGACAAGATGAAACTCCAGCGAAAGGTATTTCCATTGACTTAATATATATATATATATATATATATATATATATATATATAGAGAGAGAGAGAGAGAGAGAGATAGATAGATAGATAGATAGATAGATAGATAGATAGGTCCAAATAAGAGAAAGAAAAATCTGGTTCGCAGCATTTACATTATATGGCTCAATACAAAGTATATCAAAATAGTATTATAATATTTTTATTATAATGCATTACAACAAAATCATATTACATCACTATACAAATGATGTCATAACCAAAAGTATATTTTTAATTCTGACCTTAACCATCAGTTAACTTCGGAAAAATGTATCAATTTCTTTTTAAAATTCTTTAATATATTCTTTCTTATCAAAAGGTTATCTACCATCGCCTGAGGAAGTACAACATTAGTACTGAAACATGAAAGTATTTGTGTAGCGATAAACTGTTTTCATTGTTCCCTATTATAATAAAATTTATAATACATATATATATATATATATATATATATATATATATATATATATATATATATATATATATATATATATATATATATATTATAATAAAATATTAATATATATATATATTATAATAAAATATTATAATAAAATTATAATATATATATATATATATATATATATATATATATATATATATATATATATATATATATATATATATATATATATAAATGAAGAATAAAATTAGATCTGAAGCATAGTTCTAATATCATTTTCCATATTGTGTTTTCTCGGATAAAATATACGAAATGATCACATCCATACTCATATTGATCATTTACAAAGTCCCCCCCATTCATGCAACATGGAAGTAAGTGTTTAATGTTATACAGACGCTCATAAAACACAGTAAACGATGCGCTAGTGAGCTTATTAGCCAATAATTGAGTCGAGATGAAGTTTTGTGGGTAATTTTTTGTCTACCTTCTCGTAAGAACGAACATAATCATCAACATTAATTCGTTTCTCAAGATGATCGATATTCACTGACCCACTGTTCACGCTAATGCGTCAAGAGCATAAAAAATGGACCAAGCATCTTTGGAAAGTTCGATATCGATCCACAAATCATTAATCGACCGAGATAAATAAAGAAATGAATGTAGGTAATTACTTATAAATGATTAATTTCCCCTTTACTCTCTAATGAGCTCTCACTACATTCTGGTAGGCTAAGCACCATTATTTTTTTTTCTTTGCTTTTGTAATTTTTTTTTACTTTTAGTTTGATTCGGGGAAAGAGGCTCAAACCGTAGCAAATGAATCCACTATTTGTCGAGCTCAGAGGCGTTCTTTCCTTTTTATTTAACTGTTTCTGTTTGACAATCTCAAGTGCTTATTCCGTTCACTTGTCATTCTCATGTTTCGAACTTTGATACGAGTGAAATCAGACCCAGATTATAAATAATTTTAAAATTACCGATGAGAATCAAGGATTATGACATAACGTAACATGTCAACATTAAAACAAAGTTCATTAAAATGTATATACATGCTATTAAATTTAAAGACGAAATAAATTTATATCCTGACTCAAATATAACGGAAGAATGAAAATAAAAGAGAATATAATAAAGAAAAATCTCAGTTTAATTCTAAGACCTGAAAAGGTGATTAAATTCTAAAACCGGAAAGATCATTAAATTTCGTCAAAATTAAAACGGCATATTTAAAAAAAAAATCTGATTTCATACCGAAAAAGATATTATGATTATACAGTATAACCCGAGTATAAGAGACCCGGATATAAGAGAAATCCCGATATAATAGAGATTTTCTCTAGTCCCAAAATAGAGCCTGTGTTAATGTAAATAAAATAGACCAAACCCGGATATAAGAGAAACTCGGATATAAGAGACTTCTTCTCCGTTCCCGACGACTATCTTATATCCGGGTTACACTGTTTTTTTTTTTTTTTACGACAGGTACTTTCTTGTCGTCATTCATATCATCATTCGAAAGCCTTTCTTTTTTGCGTTCTTTCAGTTAGATTAGAAAAACAAATATCAGACTTAATCTTCGAAAAATACATTTCAGTCATCATTGAAGGGTTTGAAGAATCATTTCTGTCAGCTTTCTTGTCGTCATTCATATCATCATTCGAAAGCCTTTCTTTTTTGGGTCCTTTCAGATAGTTTAGAAAAACAAATATCAGAATTAATCTTCGAAAAATACATTTCAATCATCATTGAAGGGTTTGAAGAATCATTTCTATCAGCTTTCTTGTCGTCATTCATATCATCATTCGAAAGCCATTCTTTTTTTGGGTCCTTTCAGTCAGTTTAGAAAAACAAATATCAGACTTAATCTTCGAAAATACACATTTCAGTCATCATTGAAGGGTTTCAAGAATCATTTCTTGTGTCATTCATTTCTTGTCGTCATTCAAATATCGTAATTCGAAAAAACATTTTCATTTTGGGTCCTTGTTTTAGCTAGTTTAGAAAAAACAAATATCAGACTTAATCTTCGAAAAATACATTTCAATCATCATTGAAGGGTTTGAAGAATCATTTCTGTCAGCATTTTTTTGTCGTCATTCATATTATCATTCGAAAGCTTACTTGTCGTCTTTTTTTGGGTCATTTTTTTAGTTAGTTCAGGAAAACAAAT